ACCTTTTTGTCAATTATTTTGTAAATTATCTATCAATTGCCTTGCAAACTCATTGAATATTTGGGGTCTAGGACAAACCGCGCTGAAACAGAGAGGATTTTAGTAGGAAAGACACAACAGCCACTATCCTCAGAAAAATAATGACTTGTGGATGACTGAGATACCACGTCCAATGCATTTGATATTAGTAGAATGTAAAAAATTTAGGCAATGGCAAGATATATATCCAGGTATAGAATACTCTATAAAATCAGAGCCTCAGACAATACACATTAGCTAATAAAAGGACAGATAATTCATCTGACTTATAGGCTGGTATATCATATTTCACAATATTGGTGGGTAACATACCAAGTATGATCTTTACAGTAGAAATTACAAAGAAAATTCATGAGTACTAGGGATATATTAGTGAGCTTGCTAGCAGCAGGATGAATAATGCTTCAAAATGTCGGATTAATAACATTTCTGGGTTACTTCCGAAGGTAATGGAGCCAAGCATTTTTTAAGAATGGAAGTTAGATTTTCTGAAAGGAAAATCTGAGCAAGACGATGTGTCAGAGAAAAGACTGCAGGAAATGGGGACCCCAATCCTTTTTCATTCAAAACATGTATAAACTGAAAATTAAGAATTGGCTGGGCTCCATTTTAATATTAAAATCTTGGAAGTTAAGATGGTAGAGTCGAAATGTTAACAATTACATCGCTTCATCACTAACAGTAATATTAATTCAAATTAAAAGGAGTTAAGGCAGAACGACCATTTACTTTATTCTCCTGAAAATTATCCATGAGCAGATCCTCTAAAATATGCCCTGTGTGTAGACTGTACATGCATTTAAAATATGTGTGCGTGTGTGCGTGTTCAACTACTGTTAACCCTTCAAAGATATTATCTGATTTTTCATTTTCTTAAAAATAACCATACTTTATCATCTTAAAGGACCATAGCTTAGTTAAATTTAAAACCAACCAACCAAAAAAAAAAAAAAAAAATCACTGACCAAACTAATTAGCTGTGTTTTCAACACTCTTAAGGCACGAAAGAATCACGGGCAAAACTACTCTCATTATTAAATTGTTAAGGAGTCTCCTCCAAGAATGACAGTGTTCTCTGGATGAGATGCTACAGATCTTCTTCTCTTTCTAGAAAAAGGAAACACAGGGGACGAGGCAAGACGGCCCTAAACAACTCATCCAAAGGACTTCGCAGGTTACTTTACAACAAGAATCCCTACACACATCTGCCACGTCCTTCTCGCTCTAAGAAGAATCAGCTTGGTTAGTGAGGAGTGGCTTAATCAATCTGCATGATGAAAATCATTTTTAAAAGATTTGATGGCTTAAAACAGACTTAGGTGGGAGGGGGTAAATCTGGGACTTTGAGATTTACAAATGTTCGCCACTATATATAAAAATAGATTTAAAAAAAAGTTTCTTTGGTATAGCACAGGGAACTATGCTCAATAGCTTGTAATAACCTGTAATGGAAAAAAAATTAAAACGAATATATGTATGTATGTGCATGATGGGGACATTGTGCTGTACACCAGAGATAGACACATCGTAACTGACTGTACTTCAAAAAAAAAAAAGACTTAAATTTGAATGATAACATCCTAATTTGTGAAAAGAAAATATAGATGTAATAGTCATCTGCATCTTTTCACTATAAAATGCTCCACAATCGATCAACAAAAATGCAGTACATGTTTCCTATTTTCTTAAAGGAAAAATCCATACCTGTTTTTCCCCCATAATTGACATGAAAGGATGATTTCCACCCCCAAACAGTGTCAGGCAATTGTGAACTTATTGATAATCTTGAAAGAAGAGATCACGCAGGTCCTATTTCTGACAGCTGAGTTAAAACCAACCAACCCACAGCGCAGGCATCACAGTGCACTTGCTTTATGACAGCAGTAGACAGGTGTTTTTTGTTTTGTTTTGTTTTTCTTGGATTACATGCCCTTATGACTCTTTCTTCCTGATGTTAACAGTAAATGCCAAAATATTCTATCTAAGTGATTGCTGGGCTGGAAACCAGAAAGAAACTCTAATGCAAGTATTTATACCTTCTGCAATGAAAACAAGATATCATTGCTTTATGTGACCTTTCCTAAATATGGGATACAACATTTTACACAATAGCTTCTTGGTTCATGCTTCAATTACTGACCTTTACTGTGTAGAAAATTAATGCAATTTTCACTGCAATCCATCCGTACAAATAAGGTCCACATAGAAGAATTCCACGTATGGAAATCTAATACAAATAGGAAATGTCAGCTGATTGCTGTTGGCTGAACTTCACCATTATCTATTTGTTCTGGGGTCCCCAGCAAATTATAACCGTAACAAGCCATTTCATGCGTGGACCATCAGGTATAAGAAAGAATTCCTCTCTTCAAAGTTCAGTTTGTTCGTTTAGTTTCCTAAAAGCCAAAACACCAGTTTCCTGGAAGGTTCTACATTATAACAAAGTCCACAAAAAAAAGGAAGGCAAAATTGTGGCATCTCATTTGGTCTCTAAAAAAAATAAAACAAAATTTTTTTAAAAGTTTAAAAAAATAAAAATACAGGTCATTTACCATGGACTTTTAACAATGAGAAGAAGCAAGAGGCTCCAGTGATGTCATTTTGCAACAATCCCTGTTCCTGACAATAAAAGTATGACAGAGCCCAGACGGTGTCCTGGTCTGTGCCTCGCAGACAGGCAGAATGTGGGAGCGCGTCCATCTCCCCAGGGAGCTGTGCCAAGGGGCCCCCGGCACGCTTTCATCTGCCAGTTGTCCGTGATGCTATTTGGTGGGAAGGGGTGCTGGCAATTAAGGAGTGTCACTTTCAAGATGGATAGTTTGGGTAGGAAGGAGTCCCTCTCCTCCTCTGGTTTGGAAGGAAGCGGCTGTGTGTTTATCATCTGTAAACAGTTCATCTCTCCCTGGGTGCGTTACAGATCCCAGAAGCATGGTCTGTCATGTCTAACACACTACAGAAGCCGGAAGGGTGCTGTGGGGAAGCCCTTTGATTCGGCACACCGTGGAGGGGAGTGGCCGGGTGCCTGTGTCGGGTCGTGGAGGCTGCCATGGGCGGATGGGAAATGATGAAGCGTAATACAGATGTGGATGTGCGTGAGCTCCAGGAGTTGCAAAGTTGAAAATCCCTCTACTTTACAGATCTCTTAAGAGAGGTGAGAGGGAAGAGATGTGGGCAGGGACAAAGTCTGCCAGTCTCCCATAGCAGTAGAAGGACTGGGTTCAGCAGAAGTGGCATAAGTAGAAGTCAACATTTCGTTTCAGACTTGGTCCTCTAGAAGGTTTCGTAGAAGTATCAAACTGAGGGAGCAAAACCAACATGGCCATGCTGTGGTGATTAAGGTGCTACAAACACTAAAATCAAAGGATCTCAAGAATGGACCTGCCCCAGAGGAAACACGGCGAGCTCCGGAGTTAGCACCCTCCGTGCGGGACGGGCTGACACAACTGCTGTGTACAGGGCTGTGTCTGGATGAAGGCAGCAGCTCCCAGGCTCATTCACGTGGATGTTGTGGTTCCCACTCAGTTATCCTCACCCAGAGAGACTCGATGCAAAGCTACCGCCACGCTCCCAGGTCCCCAGGCAGCCATTGAGGACGGCAAGATCCTGAAAACCAGTGATCCAAACTTACATGGCCTGGATTTGCTGCCTCCCACTTGACTGAACACCATTTTTTCATTCATTGTCTTCCTGTTGGATTTCTCCTTTATCAGATGGGACAAAACCCCATGGTCACAATTATCTCTAAAGGGCAGAAGAGGTCTCTTCCACGGGTGATTCATTCACACAGACTTGGCCAAACAGAAAGCAATCTTCCTCACTTCAAACGTTGGTTAATAAAAGTGACAATTACGCCTAGCGTAGGTTTAAAATCATTTCATTAATATTTGTGTTGCCTTTGATAAAACATCCCATGGTGCACGTGAGCTTAGCTGTGACGATTTTGAATGTTCAAGGAGTTCTGTCACTCAGAAGCCCCTCACATCCATCCAGCAAGAACAAAGCTACATTGTGTGACCTTTATTCTAAAACAAGGGTCGATCCTCTTTTTAAAAAAAATACTATACTTTATTTTCTAATGTTGCTATTAATGATCATTTCAGCACAACAAATTAGACTTAATTTGTAATCTGCCCAACTTACTTCAAATGGGCAAAATCATCTGGCTCACTCAATTAATCTTAAAGCTGTCTGTCTCATGGAGTTAATGTCTTTGAATTCATTTCTGTTTCCTGGGCATTTTATATTAGATATGTAAGTCTTTTATTGATATTATTTTTCGGATATTTAACTCTTAAGTTTCCCCCTTCTGCCCTTTTCCTCTCTCGCCAGCCTCCGCCACACTAGCACCCTGCCCCACAGGTCCTAAGGGACGGGAAAGCCATGAAGCTGGTAGCATCTTACTTGGCATTTTCATATTCTTTTTTTTTTCTTTTTTTCGTTTTATTCCAGAAGGTTTGTCTGAAAAGCGTAATGACAACAAAAGCAGCAGATTTGAGAGATTCTCCCAGGGGGAGAAGGAGGACAGATGTACACAGACAGAGAGTTGAAAACGTTGCCAGCAACAGCTGGGAAAGTGACAGGTTCTGAAGCGGGTGACCACCCCGCAGAGAGCAGACACGAGTCTAAAGGAGCAGCAATCCTGCTTGATTTACTCTTGACTTCCTGGGCTACCTTTCATCTCCCTTTCATCCACCACGGAGAAGGCTAGTCTTTGCCTCAAATGACAGGCCTCCGAGAGGTTCGCTTTTATTACATTTCAGTTACTCCTTACAGGTCACTCCTTTTCATCCTCATTTAAAAAAAAAATCTTAAAAAGGGATAGTCTTTATAAGTCACAAGAATGTTACTATACTGGGCACTCCGTAGTAGGTAAAAAAAAAAAAATAAAGAGTTTGACTCAACCCAGAAGGATGCTGAAAACATTCACGCTCCCTTTCGTGTCTCTCCTTGAGCTCACCCACCTTGTCATCCTCCTCTTCCTCCTCGTCCACATCCGTGCTCTCCTGAAAGGAAAACGCACAACAATCTGTGAATAAGACATTGACCGGAATCGCCAAACACAAACGAAATGCATACCCAGGCTTAAAGTTTTCCTCCACAGTGGAAACACTAGTATTGTTTAAATACATTATAACCTCTTAAAAAAAAAGGACACTGTGAAGGCTCAAGGGATGCTGCGGCCAGACTACAAACAACAGGCAGAATCTACATAAAACTGTTCACTATAAATAAAGCTATTAGGTGAGTGCTCTTTGAAGGCATCCAGCTTGAGAACGCACTGCGGAGTTGTACTTTCTATAAACAGTTTTGTTCTTCTTCTGACAAATGAACCAGCTGTGACGTTAAGGCTGAGAACACCATCCTCCGTTTGTGCTGCGCTCATGGTTATAATGACAGCGCTTTTCCTTTGGGGCCATTACCGAAAACATTAGACAGTAGAAAATGCATTAGTCTGAATATAATCAATCTCAAGACTAAGTTACAGGTTTCTATACGATATTATTGCTTTCCTCGGGCTTCGGGATTGGCTGGGGGGTGCGGGGCAGGCGAGGGAAAGAAACTCGAGGCTCTGATCTGGACTGAAGGATGCCTAGCTTTACTTCAGGGGCCACAACGCCAGCCGTGCTGCAGACGGGCTTGTGCAGATTAATTTAGAAATCTTGGCTATTTAATAGGTACGTTTTAATCATATCACAGCTACACTTAAAAGATAACACATGTTGGTTCATGATCAAATGATCTGGCAGCTCCGAAAGAATGCTGGGTATCCGAAAACCTGGGTCTGTTTTCAGTTCCTGCTTAACCTTGCAAAGTCACGCAAGCGAATTAGACGTCATTGATGCAAAAGAAAAAAATAATAGTTAATACCATGCTTCTGTAAGGGAGTAACTCTCTAGTGTCCACACTCCATAATCCACTGAGCAATTTCTCCCAGGGCTGGTACTGCATTAAGTCCCAGGATTCCCAGGAGCTACAACTAGCTGTTTGGGGGACACTTACTGATGCTGGAGAACTAAGCTAGTCAACGTTGGCAGCAAGCATGTTTCATGAAAGCAAATGGATAAAAATAAATGTGATGGAAACACGTTTCAGGAGGAAAAACGCTGTAATTAGAAGTCTTCATCTTGAGACAAAGCCTTCAGCTTGAGACACTATTCTACCGCTGTTTTGCTGTGTGACTTGGGGCAAATCACTTTGCCACTCTGAACCTTAGTTTCATCAAGCATGAACTGAAAATAATAGTTCTTGACTCCTTCGTGGTTATGTTATCAAGATTAAATTAGGAAATGATTTGGAAAATGTTCAGTAAATTATAAAAAGGTTTCATAGACACACGAGTACACTTATGTATCATCTATACATATATAACCACCTGCTTACAAATACATACATACATACATATATGCACACATATATCTTTATATATACACGTATGTGCAATATACACACACTATAAACATACACATCATATATACAGTTGGAAAGATAAAGTCTGATTAAAATTGTAAAACTGTTAGTTGACAACACTTTTATAACAGATGTTTCTCTGTAAAAATTTCCCTCATCTGTACCTCTGTGAAAGTTAGTCCTTTAAAGCTATTCATTTGTTACTTGGCTCCAGCATCTTCAGATTCAACATTATTGATAAACACCCATGTCTACTGTACTACACAATCAAAAATCAAACCGAATAATACATATATTTGCTTTGTTTTTATAAAGCTTTTTTTTTTATTTTTAACTGTTTTTATTGGGGGGGATTAGGTTTATTTATTTATTTTAGAGGAGGTACTGGGGATTGAACCCAGGACCTCATGCATGCTAAGCATGTGCTCTACTGCTTGAGATATACCCTCCCTCAAACAGAATATATACTGAATTTCTCTGAGGTTTTACTTCCTGCCACAACACTCATTCCCGCCCCCACCCCGACATCTTCCCATCCCAAATGAAACCAGAATCCTTCTTTAAATATCCATTATTTCAGAGATGATTTTTTATACAAATAATGAAACTGTTATATGGAAAAACAGGTGAAGTTGGTCAGCTTGTGAGTCTTGGAAAACCCAATACGGAGATGACCTTTCTAGAAAGGATGTTATCAAGTCTCAAGACATTTGATTTTTGTTTGAAAAACTTGATTCTTGAATCTGGACGGCCAAGATTATACCATAAAGCAAGTCAATAAATATAAGTTCCTTCTAACCCAAAACAAAACAGAAAGACTCTACAGGCTGGGATAAGAGGGATGGGGGAAGGAGAGTCGGAGGAAAAGTAAGAAGAGGAAATGGTGGAGGATGCCTTTGAGAAGGGGCCTTGCTTGTTCCTCCTTTAACACCATGGGGAGTTGGAGAAGGACAAGAAATATTTGGGCACTCAAGAGCAGAGGGGCCCATGCCCACCCACTCTCAGATTTCCCTGGGAGTTGGGAAGCCTTTGAGAATCCTGAGACTAAAAAGTTGGAAAGAACACTGGACAGGGCAACCATATGCAGAGGCCTGAGGCAGCCTCCCAGATGCTGTGTGTGTCCTGACAGGGCAAAGAGAGGCACCCATGGCTTTTCTCTCGTGGTTGAGAATGTTATTCCCAGGAACCTTACGGAGAACCAGATGGGCGCACAGACGTGTGCTGCCGGCATGGAAATGCTGACCAAGAACCAGATGGCTCACCTCCTGCTTTGAATGCAGGCCAAGCCTCAGGAACGTAAGATGCCCTAGAAGGAAGATTCCAGATTACACAAGATGAGAGAGCTTCCCTGTAACATGGATATACCTGTGCAGTGTTGCTCCTCACATCTCAAATGCAGTGGCCCTGGGCTACGATTTGGTGGTGGTGGTTTGTTGTTAACACACCTTTTTCACTACTCAAATCTTAGAATCCTTGGAATCTTTGCTCACCTGGCTGTCCTGGATGCTGCCAACCTTCCCTTTCGTGGGATTGATGAAATTGTAGACAAAGAGCAGCAGTAAAGCCAGCGGGATCATGTACAGTTCAAAGTTCCAGACGGTGACTAAAAACACCTGATTGGAAGGCAAAGAAAACCATGTCACTGTTTGAAAAAAAAAAAACAACCAATATGGCTCTTTTCGAATTATAGTTTTTTTCCCAAATATATGCCCAGGAGAGGGATTGCTGGATCATATGGTAAGTCTATGTTTAGTCTCTTAAGGAACCTCCACACAGGCTGCATCAATTTATATTCCCACTAACAGTGAAGGAGGGTTCCCTTTTTCCACACCCTCTCCAACATTATTCTTTGTAGACTTTTTAACAACGGCCACTCTAACCGGTGTGAGGTGATACCTCACTGTGGTTTTGATTTGCAAATATGCAACAGGAACAAAGATGCAAACATCCTTAAGAAAAATAATAGCAAATCAAATCATGAAATATATGAAAAATATATACCATAGTGTGACCAAGTAGAATATGTCCCAAGAATGCAAGACTGGTTTCATATTAAACAAACAAAAAAAACATCAGTGTAATTCACCATATTGACAGAATAAAGGAGAAAAAACATTGAATTATTTCAATAGATGTGGAAAAAGACATTGACAAAAAATGCAACAGTATTAACAAACAATGAATAGAAGGAATTTCCTCAATCTGGTAAGCGATACCTACAAAAATCCTATATTTATCATATTTGATCATTTGGCAACAGTTTGCTATATGTAGATTATGCTTGGAGAAGTTGATTTTAAAAAAATGAGCACATGCTAAGAAGGAAACTGCTGAGACATGCAATCACATGAATAAATCTCAAAAACACACTGAGTGAAAGAAGCCTTATACAAAAAAGAGCACATACTATATGATTTCATTTAGATGAATCTGTGTGAAGAACACAGAATAATTCTATGATAGGGAAAAACTGCATGATTTCTTCTAAAATTAGGGACACAGAAAGGATGTCTGCCCTCACTACTCCTATTCAGTATTTGACTGAATATTCCAGCCATTGCAGTAAAGCAAAAGAAATGAAATAAAACACGTAAGTATTAGAAGGGAGAAAAGTAAAATTGTCTCTTATTATAGATGACCTGATTTTTATTTTTTACAATGAATCTACAAAGCAAATCCTAGAAATAAGAATTAAATTCAGCAGTCACAGGGTACAAAGTAATTTTTTTAAAAAAATCAATTCCATTTTTATATACCAGCAGCAAAAAATATGGAAAATAAAATTTAAAATTTTCCATTTAAAGCAGAACCAAAACCTATAAAATACATGGGAATAAAATTCATAAAATGTTGAGCAAGATCTCTTCAGTGGAAATTGTAAACCATCACTGAGGAAGATGACAGAATATCTAAGGAAGTGGACAGAGACGCCACTAGTTCACAGATCGGAAGACTCAATATTGTTAAGATGGCAGTTCTCCATAAATCCATCTATAGACACAAGCAATCCTAATTTTGCAGAAATTGACAAATTCATTCTAAATATTATATGGAAATGTAAATGACAGAATAGTCAAAGCAATTTTAACAAATAAGGCTTATACTATTTAATACAATTTATCATAAAGATATAGTTATAGAACAGAAGGTAGAATCCACATATATGCAATTAATTGATTTTTAAGAATATTGCCAAGGTAACTCAAATGGGAGAAATGAGAGTCTTTTCAACAAATGGCCCTGGAGCAACTGAATATATGTATGGAAAAAAAAAAATCACTAACCCTTACCATTCACCATACATAAACAATGACTATAAATGAATCATAGTATCTAAATGTAAATTCTACAACTTTAAAACATCTGGATTAAACATGAGG